GAAAATGTCTCCTATTGTGTCCAAGCTTTGACAAAGATTTTCCTGGAATATTTGGTCTCAATAATAAAGTACATAATTATTCCAAAGGGTTCATTATTTATATTTCATTTCTCAATGACGACTTACCATGGTAAAACAGTCTTTTATTCTAGGTATACCAGAGCAAGTTGCTTATAAATTATATTGACTAAAAATTAATTTTCCATAAATACCTATTTAAAAGTGACGAAAATATTATATAACAACTAATTTAAATTTATTATTTCGTATTAAATTGATAATGTTCTTGCAAATATTTAATGGGTTACCAGCTTTGAGTGTTTAAGGTACTATCTTTAGACTATTAATTAGGAAAAACCAAATTTGCACAGAACACACATAGAAAAATGATGCTGGCTGGACCGGGCTTAATTTAATTTTAAACAGGCCGGGTATATTTATTTTTCATTTCCTGGAAACGTACGAGTTACCGCCGCTTCTAAAAGTTTGAACTAAACGAGTTTTCACTGACCCCACGTAGGCCTCCAGTGCTATATTACCGAGACCTGTAACCGCCGAGCGTTACATTATTTAGAGTAGAAGTGAGCCGTTACATTTAAATAATTTCCTTCCGTCCTAATTAAAACCGGCGAATAGTTCAGATGTTTCAACTGATTTCTCTTGTAATAAAACCTGTCCATTGATCCAGGTAAGGAGGATGAACGAGTTATCATTTCCTGCCAAGAACCTTTGTTATTTTCATTTTTTTTTGTTATTCTGTAACCGGGTTATAATTTGGACATGGGATTAAACGGACAAACCAACAATGTTATCTCTTAGAAATAAATGTTTGGTATTTAGTGACCGTTAGTTGATTTTTTTTTGGAGATCGTGAAATGCGGTCTGATGTGACGTAGGTTGAGACATTTTCTTTATCGTGCCAACGTTTCGATCATTAATGAGATCATCTTCAGGGTTCTTATAAACATTGTTTAAATTATACAAATACACGTAGGATGTGAAAAAATTGAAAATTTATACAATGCTAGAAATTTTACATTCAATCAAAATATTTGTACTCACTCAGAGTGTTTGTTTTTTGTGTCATTCTTGTCTGTCGTGTTGAGGGTGCCAGTGAGGTGTTGATGTTTTATGTTTATATACGTTGGATTTTGATGGTGGGGAAGGAAGTCGGGATAGAAAAACATTTTTATATGAGGAGTCGGTCCTTTGAGGTGAAAAGAGCGCCCACAATGGGAAAGAATGGTGGTTCGGCCTGATTATTCTTTCTGGATTATAAACTAGAGATATTTAGGGAAAGGAAAGCCAAATTTTTGAAAAATTAGATTATGTAGAAATGTCTGATGTGAGGAATGTCATGACTGTTTTTTTATGTTATATTATATGTTTTGTATAATGTGATGAAGTGTATGTTATTGATATAAATCCTAGGCCCTGAAGATGATCTCAATAAAGATCGAAACGTTGGCACGATAAAGAAAATGCTTTTCTGAACCTACACACCAGACCCCATCTAACGATCTCTAAATAACAACTTACAAATAAACTCGTTTCATTTTAACTTTTAGTTTTACCAGTTAGATTAAGTGTATTATATTTATTTAAAATATGCTAGATTTATCGGGATATTTTGAAAATATTACTTCTTCCAAAGGAAAAATTTGAACAAGAAGAGCTTAAAATTTTTCAGTTTTTTATTCTCGCTCACTTTAAATAAAGATCTTCTTAGTATTAATAATAAAATAAGTAGCTTTATTTAAGAATAATTACGAGTTTACTTAATATAAGGAAATTATAAAGTGTGTTCTTTTTGATGCTATCAAAAAGACAGAAAATACTTCTTTAATATTTTTAGTCCAGTTTGAAATTTGTACCTTTTTTGTAGAAAAAGTATACAGGTACATCAGGACCAATACAACATCAAAATTTCAAATACAACGCTACATATCCTGACACACTATTTTAAAGGATTTTTAAAATGCAAACAATGGTGCAATCGGATTTTAAAATGATCCAAAAATGACAAAGTTATGGCAAAAAATTTGAAAAAAAAACAACAACTAATCAGTTGGTTCGCTATTTATCAATCCGGTTTTATGTTCGAACTGCCTCCCTTGTCCACGGGAGATGGATTCACAAAACCATTCGCTATCCTTTTCTGCAGTTCTTCAACCGAGGCTGCTGGGTTATAATCGGGGCACTGTTTTTTAAATGGCCTCACAGAAAATAGTCAAGTGGAATTAAATCGGGCGACCGAGGAGGCCGACAGATCGGGCCATGAAGTCCTAACCACCTAATCCCCAATTTGACGATTCAAATAACGTCTCACCTGTAAAAAATTGTGTGGGGGCATCCATCAAACTGGAGAATATTTGTTTTTCGTTGTTGCAAAGGAATATCTTCTAATATTGGTAAAACCTTCCTCAAAAAATTGAGGAACTGATCACCATATTTTAGTTGAAATGAGGCCATATTATTTCATTTCCGAAAAGTCCATACCAAACGTTGATACTGGGAACCACCTGATGATGACAAGAGTATGAAATTCTCGGATTTCCTTCTCTTTGGTTCGAAAATTTAAAAGGTTTTGTGTGCCATTTTTCATCAGTCCATGTATAAGGTTTTTTCCACCTCCAAAATCGACCTGTGCAAGAAACATTAGGCGCCTGTCATAATCATAGTCCCGAAGTCCCTGGGCAAGATGAGGACAATACGGCTTAAAATTGTAAGTCCGGAGTACATCTCTAATTTTATTTCTTCAAAAAAATAAAATCCTTCCAACATATCGGAGCGAGGAATTCGGGTTTTTGCAAACATTGAGTAAAATTCATTAGTTTTCGTGGTGCCCTTGACCAATTAATCTCTTGCAATTAATTAAGGTTTTCAGTTGAGATAAAAAAGTCAATGTAACGAGCGGGATTCGAACCCACGACCTTCGGCTACATACGCCGCTACTCTATCCGCCACTTGAGCTATCGTGACTTCGATCCACTCGGACACCAACTTCCCATCTCAACCCCACCTTTTGAGCCGAAGGTCGTGGGTTCGAATCCCGCCTGTGACATTGACTTTTTAAACTCAATTAAAAATTTAATTAATGCGGTAAAATATTCATATTAATTTCTCCTCGTCGAAATTATGCTGCCGGTTTCTTGGTGATGGAAGACTGATCCGTATCTCCTCATATTGCGAGAAACACGAATAAACATTTTGTGCTTTAATCTGGGGCGATCAGGCAATTTCTGAAAGTAAACTGGACTTCAGATCCGTAAAATGTGCACTTCTGTTCAATTTGAATGGAATACTGAATGTAACGATAAGGTACTATTGAAGATTTTATCTCATAATGCAACATTTGACAACAACAACAGAATATAAACAATAACCCATTAATATTTACTTTAGTGAAGAAAAATTTTTCGCCTTAACAACGAAAGAAACGAAATGTTTTTTCAAATATTTTGCCATAGCTCATTTTATGATTAATTTAAAATCCAATTGCATCATTGCATTTAAAGTAAAAATTCTTTTAAAATAATGTGTCATGATGTATAGGGACTTAAAATTTTAAAGGTGAACGCCGTACTTATAATTTTTCTCTAAAAAAATTTAAAAATTTGAAACTAGACTGAAGATATTAAATATGTATATTTTGATTTTTCTGATAGCGTCATTGGGATGACACCCTGTATATACAGAATATAGGGCTTGGATAGCCGTCAGCTGGAGAGTGATCCATAGTTTTGATATAATAATAATAAATAAAAAAGAATACAACAGAAAACTAACGTAAATGTAGCAACCCCGAAATATTATGTATAAAAATGAACTACATGATAATATCTACGTTTTATTATATTTGATCATTTATATCCATAAGCAGTGTTGGAAAATAACATTTTCCTTAACATGTCTATTACATTAACTAATTATTTTTATGAACGTGGTTTTTCTGATCATTTTTGACAACCATATACGTGATTTTGTCCTGTTTGTACCATTTCAGCTTTTCTCCATTGTCACTGAGTTTTATGTGGAATATACTGAGAAAAACTCTCAGATAAACATACAAAATCGCAAGTTCTATTACAAACATGCAATATATAAACTGCCAGCACACCCAGGCTTTCACTAAAAAGTAGCCTTAAGCATTAAAATTTTCCCCACATAAAGTGGTTGTTATGTGTGCTCTTTTTGTAGTTTTCTTTTGAATCCTGCGAAAATATTCATCTTAAAAAAATATTTCTAACGTTATGGTATTATTTATTTTCAAAAACCATTGTAAATAGGTATTTTTGAATATTCCTTGACCATAAATGTTTTAAAAGGACGAATATTTTTAACCTGGGTATCAGTTACAATTGTATACTTTGTTTATTATATTTTATGCATTTCTTGTTCTTACTGTAAATTTACGTTCATTTATGATAAGTGTTAATAAATGGATAAATCGGCTGAAGTAACATTGTCTTAGAAAATCGCAAGGGTAAAATGTATCTTATAGTGCAGGTGTAAAGTCTGAAAGCAAGTTTTTCTCTTTACTGCTTTTTTATGATCCAGGGTCGTCATCAACACTCTACACATGCGATTTTCACTGCCCACGCCCTTTTAGTATAACGGAGAATAAGTCTTTTTCTGCCCTTAATCTGTCAAGCGTTGTGTTGGGCTTTTTTCAGAGCCGGTTGAAAATGAAAAGAAGCGGAAAGGAATAAGTCGAGGGTCGAGGAAAAGTCGAAAAAAGTCGTTCGGAGAGCGAAATCGTTTTTTTACGAAAAAATCATTTGCACTCGAGCCGGGATAAAACGAAACGCACTTAAAAGTACTTTTTTTTTCAAAACCTGATGTTTTTCCGTAAGTTTCCATTTACGGATTGCAATTTGAAGCGTGTGGAGAGTTTGGCAAATAGGCCGGCGGTAGCTCGATTAAACGATCCTTCTTTCCTTGAAATCCTTTGAATGATTCTTCCCTGCTAAATGATAGGCAATTTCGTTTTCACTTACCACCGTAGTTGGGCCTTACTCTTTTGTCATAACTGACACTGAAGGAGTCGAGGATTGCCGAGATGTTGACATCGCCCAACATGCTTCCGCCGCTTCCCCTATAATCAAATTACACAAAGTTTAGAAATTTAATACGTTCAGCATCGTATAATGAAAGAAACTGATTAAAATTGAAAGAAAAACATGTTGGAAAAAACCATAAAAATTAATTAGACAAGGCGATAATTTGAAAAACGCTCATGCGGCCTTTTTCGAACATGGTTATGCGGATCATAACTTTCCTAGAAGGTTGAGACGTTTGGTATTTGGGTCGGGTTATAACGAGATGGGCACAAACTATTTCGACGGCTGTGTGTCGTGCGGCACGCATTCATCGGAAACGTCGGAATAAAGGGTCCGATCAAAAGCAGCTATGTTAAACTGTGAGGTCAGGAAATGTTTCCACTGGTTTCTATTTTGCCTGTAAATAAATCAAAACCGTTCGATTGATCGAAATGTTTTTAGGGAAAAACCATTCAGTTAAAAAATCAGGATAGAGGCTAGTTACAATTTTACAAGGATAAGCATGTACAAATGAAGTTTCAACAAAGATAAAACAAGTCTAAAAAATCGAAAAAACTAACGTCTTTTTTAAAACAAAAGACATGTTATTTTTTAAAACAAAGGTGACATAAAATAGGCATTTTCTGACTTTTTGAAAAGCTAGGTTGTTTCAGTCTCAACGCTTCCAATTTTTAAACCTAAACACACTCTTTTTTTCAGTACGTACAGTATTGTCACGTTCAGATTTAAATGAACCGCCATGCCCCTCCACACACTCAAACAGTGATAGGAGTAGGGGCCAAGAAAGGGCTATTTTTTTCAAGTCCTAAAACAGATCCCTTTCTGGCTTGTGTGGGTAAACAGCTATTTTTGGTAAAAATAAAAATTTGGTGTGCACACTATTCAAGTAAGTTAATTTTATTACTTTGACGTCAAAATAAAAAATAATAATTGTAATTTAATTTTAAAAGGATATATATTTTTATAAAGAAGAGTAAAAGAAATAATATTTCATTTTAAAAGTTGTTAATATTTTAATTGTATTTTCTAATTTGAAGGTCAAAATTTTAATAATAATAATAATAATAATCTTTCAACCGAGAATCAAATAACATTTTAAAATTAAGGTTTGTAGATTTGAGATAGGTTTGTTATTGTATAAAAGGATTCTTTAAATTAAAAATAATAATTAATAAAATATATTGTCATTTTATGCGAAAATAAATAAATACTTTGGTTTAAATGAAATATAAAAGGTGCCTGATCGATAAATGAAATAATCGTAGTCAGGTCCGATCGTAAAAAAACCTCTGGGACCTTGATTTCGGTTTTCCGAAATCAGGGTTGGGCCCAACAAAAAAAGAAGAAGAGACACGCTATATCACAAAATATACTTTCAGTTCGGTAACATCTAAAAATGTGATGGGAAATATATACAAAATTGACATAACATAACCATAGTACTCCAACAAAACTAAAATTTGTCGCGTTCACTGTCACTAAGTTCGAGATCTCGCGGCCATCTTGTCTTCAGACGGCGAGGATGGTTCGAGGGAATTAGTTGCAACGCTAGTTTCATGATGTGCGTATTTACGGTGGTTGGAAGCGTTTTGAAAAATTTCCGATAATGAGAGCTGATTTCTTCGTGGACGAGTGCAATAATTAACCCTGTGTGTGTAATTTCAACATAAAATGGAATTCACTATTTTTCGTGGTCCGATTGACTAATTTATATCGTACAATTAATTAAGGTTTTACGTTGAGATAAAAAAGCCAGTCACGAGCGGGATTCGAAACCACGCCCTTTGGCTTGATACACCGCTAATTTTTCAAATGTGTAATCTATTTGATTCTCGGCGACATGTGAATGGCCACGGAGAGCTTTAGTGAAATATACTTCATTTTAATTCATTAAGTTCACTATTTTACATTTAAAAAATGGCAAAAAGGAGGGAAATTCGAAAGGTGCGGTTGAGATGAGAAGTTAGTGCCCGAGGGGATCGAAGTCACGATAGCTCAAGTGGTAGAGTAGCGGCGTGTCAAGCCGAAGGTCGTGGGTTCGAATCCCGCTCGTGCCATTGACTTTTTTATCTCAACTTAAAACGTTAATTAATTATAAAATGGAATACCAAGAACTAAAGTAGGTTTTAGTATTAAGGATTGTACAGTTTGGCTTCGGCGGATTACTTGGCTGAACTCAACACTTCCAGTGTGGAATTCTATATTCTTTAAGCTTATCTATGTTGGAAAGTAGCCTTTTTATTTGATAGAGGCAAGTCAGAGCGTTTGTGAAGAGGCTGTGGATGTGCTCTGTATCGTGTCATAATTTCTTCCACGTTCCACTTTTCAGACGTGTGTGAGGATTCCAGGTCAAGCGTTTATTGATATGAGGTACCGCAACTTGTCCGCAGGTAGGAGGGAAATATTTTTCAAGCAGACTGAAAGGGAAATCTTTTTATGGAGAGTGAACGTGGATGGATTTGTCTATGTTAAATGTTATTATTTTCTTTGCACATCAAGACACAAGTCATGTGAGGTGTTGAAGGTTTCAAGTGGAAAAGTATGGAGATACTAGAGAGGATTGCTATATAGTCTGCAAATGTCAATAAGGTGGTTTGAGCATGTGATGTAATGTCGGCTGAATAAACCTAGTGTGTGGAGGCATGATCGCTCTTCTGAGCAACTTCAGCATGAATAAAGAAATATTCTGAGAAGGGATTGTCTTCAATGACTAAAAAAACCCGCAAAAGTAGGTGGAGGGAAGGATGTTCTCGGGTAAGACCAGCTGCAAGACTAGGTGAAAAATTCGGACTTAGGTCAAGAAAGCCCCCAGAAAAGTACTCCACTAAGTCTAGAGAGAAGGAGATAATGTCTACCACATGATGTTCGTTGGATATTTCAATGGCAGTTGCGAAAACCAAATTGATGGTCGGGGATTACATTTTGAGAATTTAGGGTGGGAATAATTTGATTCTTGAGAAGAATTTAATTGAGCTTGTATAAACTTTTACCTAAAATAGGCAGTATACTTATTGGCCAATACGAGGCAGTACAATGTGTTGGTTTTATTGGTTTGTACATACGAGTATTTTCATGCTAAAAGGGTAGACGATTAAACAATTAATTAATTTTTTTAAAAGTAGAAGTTAGAGGATGTTAGATGTGATAAGGTCAAAAAATGTTGCTTTCTTTGATTAGAAACATTTTCCTCATTTTTTTTCTATTTATTTACCATTCTTTCAAGTAAGGCGGCGAAATATTAACCATGTCTCCATTACCACATATATTATATAACTAATTTCCTTGAAGGTCGATATGAACTAATATTCCACTTCGCATTCGCGCTAATAAGTACATTCACTCTTCGAATAAACAAAGGTGAACACTAAATAAGATTTCTATTTCATCCATATGCAATAAAACAGTCTTGTTCCTCCAATAATCTGACAGGGGGACACAAATACCCAATTCCTACTCGCTCTTTATATAGAGCCAAGGAATGACATCTATCTGTTCGAATTCGACACATCGAGGAAATTTCCTCGCCGGACTTATCACCGGATGACAACCTTACAAAGCCAATTCGATTTAGATCCTCTAAAGAGAACCCATACTCTTGATACATAGGAGCTTCCTTTTGATCATATTTTTTAGAATCAGAAAGCCGGATTGCGAAGGTCAACTTTTTGAAGTGAATTTTCCTGCTAAAGTAAATAAATTTTTTTTAAACGTATTGATTAGACTATTGATGAGATGAATTTTCAGCAATAGACTACAATCTATTAATTGCAATTTTTATATGTTCAATTTAGTTGATATTTTTATTTAGGGGGCCCACGTTGATGCTAAATTGGGGTATAAATTCTAAGCGGAAACTTATTGGATGCAATTACTCGAATCAAGAAAGTGAAAGCTGATATTCAATCGAGTGGAATCCTTTTAATTGGCAAGCAACATGATCTCTTTTTGGGTTTAGAGTGAGCCCGAGTCACAAATGAGAGGCGGGTAATTGGCCAAAATAATAAAACGACCCTTGTCCGCCTAAGGATGAAAACCACTTGAATTAAACGTTTCAAATTAAGGTTTTTAACCACTGTTCCTAAGGCCGCTTTGCCATCTTTAATTTACTCAAGCTGGAAACTTGGCTTTAAAATTTTTTGGACCGCTTTAAGAAAGAAAAACTTTACTTGGACGCAAATAAATTAAATTTATTTCCAATGAATTGTATTTATTTATACTCTTAGTTATTTGGCGTAATGTTACGCTTGGATATGTTTTATATTATATAAAATACTCACATATTACTTTATACCATTTGGGTACAAGAGTCTCATTCCTTGGCTCCATATAGAGAGCCATCCATTTCTTGAAGCCAAGGAATTGAATATTTGAGTCCCATTTTCAGATTAGAAGAAGAAGGTTTTGATAGAAAGTTGACTAAATTCAAAAGGTGGGTTGAGAATGGAAGTTGGTGTCCGAGTGGATCGAAGTCACGTGGTGGAGCAGTGGCGTATTTAGCCGAAGGTCGTGGGTTCGAATCCAGCTCGTGACACTGACATTTTTATCTCAACTAAAACCTTAATTAAAGAAGAAGAACATTAATGGGTTTATACAGAAATAGTTTCACCTTCAAAAAAATAATTTGATGTATTTTGTATTACAAACTTAACACTGAAGATAACTAGAAGCCGAAACATACACAGACCCTTTAAGCGAGAAAATGAACACTGAACACAAACAAATAAAAATAATCACCTTGAAGACTTTATGTAGAGATCGTACAAACTAAAAATAGTTTTGATAGATGTGATCGAGATTCTATAATAGCTGTCTCACCGTTGCCGGATTTCCGCAGAGTGGGCAGCGTTTTTGACTTCTACCCTCTAAGAGGTGACCGTGCGTGAGACGGGTGTGACCTATTCGCAACCTTGTTAATATTATTTTGTTACGTTTTTCCAAATTCTCCACGGGCCATGGCCTCACCGTACTTTTATGTATTTTTAGTTTTTCATTACTTTCGTTTCAGCGAGCCTGCCATTTACAATAAATCGAATTT